CCTATACTCAGCACTCAGGGCCATTGAGCAGTGAGGGATCTTAACTGAGCCATAGGGCCTCTGTTTTTAAGGTCTCATCTGATAGATCTATGACTTTCACTTCCAATACTGGGTGCCTGGTGAAAAAACAGTCACTACCTATGTTTATGTCTAAGGTTTGACATGGCCCGGCGTACGAGAATCAAACCAGGGCCTCCCGATCATGAAGTGAATGCCCTACCACTTAACTACCGTGAACGGTGAGTAGACAAAGGACAAACAATAGGTAACCTTAGTGTCTGGTGATCTAATAAAATCAGATTTTTATTCAAACAGGAAAAACAATCAACAATATGAACAAAACATTACAGAAAATTCAAAATCATTTCCAGGACTTAGATCCCAGCATTTCTGTTCTACCACTGACCCTACCTACAACAGTCTGTTTGACCTGTATAATTAGGAGACATACATGTAAGCTAATATTCTGCAGACTGACTGACCCCTACCACAGATATACATGTAAGCTAATATTCTGAAGACTGACTGACCCCTACCACAGACATACATGTAAGCTAATATTCTTTAGATTCAATGACCCCTACCACAGACATACATGTAAGCTAAGCTAATATTCTGTAGATTCACTGACCCCTACCAGAGACATACATGTAAGCTAATATTATTTAGATTCACTGACCCCTACCACAGACAAACATGTAAGCTAATATTTTGTAGATTGACTGACCCCTAACAGAGACATACATGTAAGCTAATATTCTTTAGATTCACTGACCCCTACCACAGACATACATGTAAGCTTATATTCTGTAGACTCACTGACCCTACCACAGACATACATGTAAGCTAGTATTCTGTAGACTGATTCCTACCGACAACGGTCTGTATGACCTGTTTAGGAGATGTCGGCTGATATTCGGGAGAAGCTCCACCATCTTCTACTGAAGCCTCCTACAAATAAATGTTATTTTGACAATGTCCGTTACAACAACTATCCAAAAGACAACAGTACAAAAAAAAATTATTTTCTGCCAAAAAATGTGATTGAATCATTTTAAACACTGGTTTTAAAATTATGTGACATGAACTTCAGCATATCATGATTGCACCAACTTCACTTTTTAATTTACAACATGACACACTGTTTGTTCACTCATCTAAAGATTTTGATCCTCAGAAAAGAGGTTTCATCCACCTAGATGATATTTTCAGATAATTTTAACTTTGATTAACTTCTGGTCCCTCCATGAAGTGTTATAATTCCCACCTCAATCTGAACTTCTGCAATCCCCTTGCCCATTCCTGCAGCAGTTAGCTGATTGGCCAGAAGTCTTCCCATGTGTTTAATCTGTCCTTCAGTGCCAGCAGCAGCAATGGGAGTGTAGGTCGCCTGAAAGTGGGGAGGTAACTGGTCTGGCAACATCACCTACAAATAAAAATAGCACAGAGATTTCTTTATGATGCAAATAACATATGGTATTGTATTCCTTCACATATACATGCCATTTGATATATAATATTGTCCATACTAAACTAACCATGCTGATGAGAACGAGGTCAGCAACATTCTGTGGGGTCAAACGGGGGATAATGTCCTCTGCCGTGATGTCTACTGCTGTCTGTCTCTGTTTTAACGTGGCAGGTGCTTTAACTTTAGAGCGATCCACAAATGGAGTCATACCAGCATCATCGTCATCCAACTCAATCTAAAGAACAGCAGAGATATTATGCTATTAGGTCCAATTTATTTGTTTGTTTTTATAAAGTCCTCATTTAAGCACATCAAATAATGACTGTGCCCCTTTGATCTTCCCCAAGCCATCTTGCTGCCCGAGAATTATAAGACTTGTTGTTTTAATGTTTAAAAACCTAACAACGTTAAATATGATGATAAACAAATGGGTAAAATTTCCACTTTTCTGTTTTGTATTTCAGTACACAATGTAAGAGACAGGTTCAGTCAGAATTACCTCTGTCTCAGTTTTGGCTTTCTTCATTGATCCCCCGGCCTCCTCCGCCTTCCTCTTCCTGCTCTCATCTATCTTTGGCATGCTCTTCATCACCTTCAAAACAATTTTTTATTTTAATCCCCTTTTTTCAAAGAAAAAGAAGAAGGAAGAAGAAGGAATGACATTTTTCTAAAAGAGAATCCAAACAATTTATGTTACAAGTTTCCAGTTACTATTTTTGTGATATACATTCAGTATTATTATTCTGACAAAGTTCCTCCTTTTGTTTATTTTCCTAGACACTTTACCTCGGAGTTTGTGGCACCTAGATCCGTCAGTAGGGTGGTGATTTGAGTGATATAGTCCACGGAGGCCTTGTGTTTTAGCAGAGACAACATGTGCATCTTCATATTCTTACGAACACTGCTCACCTGAGACTTAGCCAGGGTCGGTGGAAGATTAACTGATGGATAAAAAGAATTCAAAGTAAGCATAATAATTCTAAAACATAGAGACTTTGACTTTAACTCGAAGATATCATTATGCAAAGACAAGAACCTGTACCAATAAATATAGACTTGTTTTGAATGCATAGAACTTTAGCTATCTGGTCATCCATCTGAATGTACATGTATTTCAGACCAGTGAGCTATAAATCTACAGCTAGCCTAATACACATGTATAAGCTTCAAAACAAAGTCTGTAAGTTTTCAAAATAATCACACATTCTAATATCATACCCTGCAATGTCTCAAAAGACTGGACAACTTTTCCAAAGAAGACAGGCCTCTGGCGGGCAATGGTGGTCAAGCTCCCCATAACAGTCATCAAATTAATGCTGAAAGGAAGATCAATAGCTATACAATAATTACTAAGGAAGGTCAATAGCTATACAATAATTACTAAGGAAGGTCAATAGCTATACAATAATTACTAAGGAAGATCAATAGCTATACAATAATTACTCTTATTGATATATATTATTACAATATATTTTAATAATTTAATTTAAGTTGTAACACATCATTTGATTGGATAAAAGATTTAGTTTATATCGTATAACATAACATGCCTATGTCACAGTGAGTTATGTCAAAAACGTATTACTCCACTTGACGTTACTTTTAAAATATGCTCAATTTGAAGCCATTTTTGGAGGAAAAATTGTCTTATTGTCTACACTGAAATTAAATTATAAGGAATGAAGCTTATTTTACCCTATGTTATATGATATAACATAACTTGGGGAAGTTTTCTCTTTTTTATAAACCACTTTGCAGTTTATAAAGCGTTAACTGCCCCAAGTTATGTTATATCGTATAACATAGGTTAAAATAAGCTCCATTCCTTAAATGTGGTTCAACTTACTTCAGTATTTACTTTTAATAAAGATTCAAAATTTGAATATTCTCAACTTCTAATAAAACAATTTTAATTAAACCTGAAGATACTGAATAATATGGATATTCATAAATCCTTGTTCTTTGGTTAATTAATGCATGTAGTAGGGTTAATTAGATTATACAAAAAATACATACACAATGTAAATTGACATGTACTAGAATTTGCAGTGGAAACCAAACTACATGTATACAATGTATTACTTATGTACATGTAGGTATGTAGTATCTACATATACATGTACCTACATATGAAGTCAACATTCAGGTGTAAATGGACCTTGGTATGGGAGACAAGCCTTATGTTTTCCAAGATTTGTGCAAGATATCTGTACTGTACACGTAGACAAGACCTATACTTACCTAAATATGTCCTAAGTGAAGCCCATTTTTACCCAAATGTATGAAAAGTATGGAATGCTGATTACATTAAACAAAATATCTCAGGCAATGTCTGTATTTACCTTGATGTGTAGAGTGAAACCTATATTCATCTGTTTGTATTTACCTAGATATATCAAGGGAGGCTTGGAACTGTAGAAGTGTGTCAAACATCTGTCTGTATTTACCTAGATATATGAGGGGAAGCTTGGAACTGTAGAAGTGTGTCAAACATCTGTCGGTATTTACCTAGATATATCAGGGGAGGCTTGGAACTTTAGAAGTGTGTCAAACATCTGTCTGTATTTACCTCGATATATCAGGGGAGGCTTGGAACTTTAGAAGTGTGTCAAACATCTGTCTGTATTTACCTAGATATATCAGGGGAAGCTTGGAACTGTAGAAGTGTGTCAAACATCTGTCTGTATTTACCTAGATATATCAGGGAAGGCTTGGAACTGTAGAATTGTGTCAAACATCTGTCTGTATTTACCTAGATATATCAGGGGAGGCTTGGAACTGTAGAAGTGTGTCAAACATCTGTCTGTATTTACCTAGATATATCAGGGGAGGCTTGGAACTGTAGAAGTGTGTCAAACATCTGTCTGTATTTACCTAGATATATCAAGGGAAGCTTGGAACTGTAGAAGTGTGTCAAACATCTGTCTGTATTTACCTAGATATATGAGGGGAAGCTTGGAACTGTAGAAGTGTGTCAAACATCTGTCTGTATTTACCTAGATATATGAGGGGAAGCTTGGAACTGTAGAAGTGTGTCAAACATCTGTCTGCCCTGTTCCTCCAGACGCTTAACTCGTAAGAACTTGTTGTCCTCTGGAATTATGTCCAGCGTGACTTCAGCCTCAGGTTTAGAAGATTTCGGTACCTCAGACTCCTACACATTACAAAAATATTCACCTTATAAAAAGTATAAATAATTCCATCTATTACTTTTTTACAAAACATAATGTATATATTCAATGTCATGCTTGCAGAAAATGAAGTGATCTACTATGACAACCCCCCCCCCCCCCCCAACCGCCCCCCCCCCTAAAAAAAAACCCCTTTACTTTCTCAAGCCAAAAATTTGAAATGCAGCAAGCAGTTTTCTGTTTCTTTCTTTTTTTTTTTGAAGCAAGAGTTATCTCTCTTTTTCTTATCACCTTGTTTGGTTCTATTCTATTATTTGATACTTATTAAACTTTTAATAATGCTATACAAAAACTATCGTGATAACAAGAAGGATGGTATATCTAATAGAAAATTTACTTAATGACTTTTCCGTAGTATGGGTGCAAAAGGAAAATTAATAGCTCAATTTTCTTTTTCTACTTGAAATATAGAAAATTGAGTCATTCTCTTTTTTTTCCAATATGTGATCAATGTGGAATATTCTCTTTTTTCAGTATGTGATCAATGTGGCAGCATTTGACCTAACGTGGTGGTGTCTGAGAAACTACAGATTATTTTTTTGGGCCTTAAATATCTTCAGTATTACAATACATCACATAATAAAAGCAGTATCTTTTTTACTGTTTAAAAGTTTTGAGATTGACATAAAATTGATTCCCTAATAATCATACATCTGCCACAATAAGCACTAGACCAACTATAATTCATAAAAGGGTCTAAAAGTGCCTTCTCTTTCTGAATTTTTTGAGTGCCCTGGGTGCAGTTTGGGGCAAATGTGGTAAATAATTATTCTTAAAATATCATGTCAAGGTGTAAATTTAAGTTTTCTGTGTAGAAGATATACAATATAACATACAATTATGCTGATACTTACAGGGGTTTTGCGTGACAGTGTCAAGATAACTCCCTCCATAAACTTCACTACATGAGTTCTCACTCTATAACAATGATAAAACTACTAAATAACAGTTAATTAATGCTATTCTAACCTTAGCATTCATCAGACAAAAACAAGTTTTTACTACTACAAATGTTATCAAACGGAAAGGAGATACACAAAAAGATAATCAAAATACGGTAAAAGATTAAAATAAAAAGGACTTTTATATCAACTTCTATAAAACCAAACTGAGATACAAATACAGTCAAATCTTGTTATCTCAAACTTGATAAGACCAAGAAAAGATTTCAAAGATATTAAGAATTTGAGATATTGAGATTAAAATACAACAGTGAGATATAAATTAATGTTCAAGATACTGAAGTTAAATGGCAACTTACCCATCGTTTTCCGAGTCTATCAGCTCAAACATTCTGTTCTTTAATGACTTCATGGTCTCCCATACAAAAGATTTCTCCTCCGTCATTGTCTTAGCCTTGGCTAACCACTGTTATCATGTAAATAAAGTTTTCATAAATTTTGCTCCTCTTTTGACATTGTTGAACATTATTTTTGATTTCTAAATATCCAGAATTTGGTAAATCATAAAAAAATTGAAATACATGTATCTACTCAAATTTCACTCAATTAGTGACTCATTTTGACTTGTGTAGATAATTTACATTGCTAATTCAATTTCAAATGTAGTATCATAATTTTTCCAAGTTCAAATGTTGTAAGTAGCACTGATTTTACTCACATCTATTTTCAAGTTTTCTGACAAAATCAGATTTTACCCCAGTTTTTTTGTGGGGTGGGGTATTTGTATCTATTCATCAGATACACTATCTGACTTTATTATTTCAAATAGAGTTCAGTTCACAATTTAACCTACTTTGGAATTAAAACTGCTGTGAAAAATGAAAGTACACAGGTATGTAAAGTATATGTACTGGCAAATATAATCTGGAATATTTACATTGTATATGTGTGATGAAAATTGTATAGTTCTGTTTCTATCAAGAATCCACAATGGCCAAAATGAGCACCTATCAAAACAATCTTTCAGATAGCAATAAACATTTAAAATGCATTTTTTCACAAAAGGAAATATACATGAGTTGGCAGAGTCACATACTTTTTAACATGTACTCCATGTGGCAATTCTCTGGGACATTGGAACATTACAACATTACATGTTATATTTTACCTTTGTAATGGCTTCAAAGACTTGTGGTAGAGATAGAATAATATTTACTTGAATATTTGACATTATCAGATCAGACCTACCTGTATAATGATTTTGTACACTTGTGTTAGAGATAAAATGACTTTCTGCACTTGTGGTAAAAATAGCAAGACTTCTGTCTGCACACTGACATGATTTTTACCTTTATTATGACTTTGTACACTTGTGGTAGAAACAGCATGACTTCTGCCTGAACACAGACATGATTTTTACCTTTATTATGACTTTGTACACTTGTGGTAGAAATAGCATGACTTCTGCCTGAACACAGACATGATTTTTACCTTTATTATGACTTTGTACACTTGTGGTAGAGAGAGAATGACTTTCTGCACTTGTGGTAAAAATAGCAAGACTTCTGTCTGCACACTGACATGATTTTTACCTTTATTATGACTTTGTACACTTGTGGTAGAAACAGCATGACTTCTGCCTGAACACAGACATGATTTTTACCTTTATTATGACTTTGTACACTTGTGGTAGAAACAGCATGACTTCTGCCTGAACACAGACATGATTTTTACCTTTATTATGACTTTGTACACTTGTGGTAGAGAGAGAATGACTTTCTTTTGTACATTGACATTGTCGTCTTGCAGTAGAATCTGTAGACATGGTAGAATCTTGTTTAACAATTCTGGGTCTTTTTTGCTGTAATAAAAATAAATTGTGAAAACTCCATATATATGATATTAATACATTAGTATACTTTGTATGAATTGTTGAGGTTACACTGTGTAGATTGCGAGTTTCTGTGGAATGAAAGGGCTACTTTATATAATTTTTGTAGCATTTCATGAGTTACGTTGTTATTCATGGTAACTTGTGAGGCATTTTGTATGATGCTGAGGGGTAGGATTACTTGTGATAACTTATGAGTTACTTTCTATTATGCTGAGTGGTAAGATTATTCATTGTAACTTGTGGTGCACTTGTGTATGTTGAGTGGCCAGTTTACTTGTTGTAACTTATGAGGCATTCTGTGATATGTTAAGGTTACTCTTGGTAACTTTTAACGCAATATGCAAAAGATTTTGAGGCTATGCACATGACACATAGACTCTGTCAGTTGAGGAACTGTGCCAGTCAGGCTCTTGCAACATACATTTATGTTGAGATTACCCTAGGTTCATATAATTTATGTAGCACCTTGGAAGAAAATTTTAAGACTAATCTCTGTAACTCTCATAATACAGTTGAACTTCGGTATCTCGAACAATGAAATCTTGAATACCATGGATATGTCCAAGTGATTTGGAAGTCCCAACCATTTATTTTTAAGTATTGATATCTCGAATGCTCGGATATCTCGAAGTATTTTCTCAGTCCCATCAAGTTTGAGTTATGAGGTTTGACTGTACTTTATAATGAGATGATCTGATGCTACTGTCTTTAATTCCTGTAACAATTTGTTTAGGTGAAGAGGTGAAGGGGCTAGATAATGTGACTTGAGAAACAAGTTGTGAGAAAATTTTAAGTTACTATATAAAACCTGTGTAGAACATTTGACAAATGTTACTGCTATCTTTGTACCTTGTATGACTCTGTGAGAGATGCTGAGGTTATGCGATGTAATTTGTAACATAACTTTGAGGTAACTTACCAGGCCTCCTCCATGAAAGTGATGACATATTTCTTGACGTCGACAGATCGATCACTTTGGAAAGCAAGCATTTCCTGAAACACCGAAAGTACTCATATTAAACCGCCTTACATTTTATTTCTGACACTTCAAACAAATAAATTCTTACCTGTATGAATGAAACATAAAGAAATTCCAATGTATAAAACAAATACTTTTCAGAATTGTAGTTTCAAAAGTTGTATCAAACATGTCAAAAGAGCTTTATAATCCTATTTTACTTACATCTAAGAAGTTATCTAGCAGTGTGGGATCTTTGTGAATGATTAATTCCTGGACCTGTTTGAAATAAAATTGTTTGAAATACACTAAAACTTGGTTATAAGGAAATCTTGGTTATAAGGAACTTTTCATGAATCCGTTAGACGATTTTTCACTATGATCCTTACACGGATATAAAGAATCTTTATTGTAATGAAAATTGAAGTCCCAATGACTTCCTTATGACTGAATTTGACTGTAATCTGAAATAAGTAAGATAATCAACAGTTCTTAGCACTTTGAAATCACTGAGTAATATTTTCTTACAAATCACATTAAACATGCCTGTCTGAGAATGTTGATTTTCTGTTGATCTTTCTGTACAAGAGAAGCCTGATTCAGAAGTTCCACTACCTGAAAAATACAAGAACTTATTGCAATAAACAGTAGACAAAGGCACCATTAACATTATATTACTTTTAAATCAATGTATGGAGTAAATTAGCAAGGAGAATGTACACAAAACTTGTACTGCTTTCACAGACTAGTACACTGTACTAACTAAATTGGGTTGTGATATATACAAGGTTAATAAAATGTATAAATAAAAGGGCTATGTATATGGTATATGCATATTTTTGCCCTCCCCCCAAAAAAACTCAAATTTTGAAAATTTCTTGAAAATGTGCTGAATTGTATATATTCTCTCACTCTCTCTCTGACCCTCCTTTTCCTTCCTAATCCTAGTTCTTCACACAGTAATCATAATATGATCAAAATATTCTGTCATATTTTCCATTTTTATTTAATCAGAAATATTAATTTTAAATAATAAAAATTTTTCTAATATCTTATTCAAAGATTTTTTTTAGTAAATATATGCATTATTACGTACTTTGATAGTGAACATGTATAAAGTTTCGTCCAAACATTTTCTTATAAGAATGTTGATCAAACTTATTCCGAGTTTATCAAATATACATTAATATTCAACATTCTTAAAAAAATTCTTTAAAATATACATTAATATTCAACATTCTTAAAAAAATTCTTTAAAATATGATATGATATAATTAATGTGTTCTATGGGCCTGATTAGCTTTCATTCAGTTTCTTAATTTAAACAATATTTTATTATGCATAATCATAATAGGATTGGACAGCAAGCACTACCTATACAAGTCCTCTCCATTGAGTTTCTACATACAATAGCAGAACAGCATGTAAAAATCTGATATACAATAAAGTATATAATCTAATATATAACATAAATTTATATATATAATTGATATAAATTCAGTATTTTCCCTAAGAACTGGCTACCAGCCAAATTGACCACTTCAATTGATAAAAATGCCCCTTTGAAATAAAAAAATATATATTTAAAAAAAATCAAACTTAGATTGTTGAAAGGTCCACAGAGATTTGTAATTTATAAACTTCAATCCAAAGCCTGTTACAATTGATCTCTAACTATTTACTTTGAAATAAAGGGAAAACACTGTTAAAACTTATTTCAAAGTTAGTCGTGCGAATAATCTCCATAATTAGCATGACTGTCATGCGCATAACTTCAATAATTTGGATAACATCGGTAATTAGCACGACTGTCTTGCATATAGTCTTGGCCTTACATTTCTAAAAATGTGGTTACCTGAATATCTTATTTATTTACCAGGTCTGGTACAATCACTAGATTTAGCTACGTAGCTTGAATTACCTACATAGATTTATTTACCTACCTGAAGTAGCTTTATTTAGCTACTAAATCAAACTTGTTTCTTAAATAAGCATTTTTCCCAGAAAGTGGAGAAAATTGCACTTTGATGCAGTGATAGTTTTCAACTTTGAACTCATCTGAATACAATTCATGAAAAATTCACTCTTAAAGATGTGTCTATCTGCATAATTGCAATCAAAGTTCTAAAAGTTTTGGGTCTATACAACAGTTAATTTGTGACCTAACAGTTACTTCTTGAGTGAAATAACAAAGAAAACCAGTTTTGGTTAATATGAGCACAATGTGAAGTAACCATACTTATCCACACCTCATCGCACACAAGGTGGTGTACAGTTACTCAAACTATCTCTGCTTTAGATTGCTTTTTAAATAATATCGAGAATAAATATTAGCAGACATTTACTTGCAACTTTTTGTCTTTTTTAAAATAAGAAGCAAAATTGTGAAAAGTTGCCTTGAAATAGCTAAATAATGCTACCTGAGGTGGGTAAATAAAGCTACGGTAGGTAATTTTAGCTTCGTAGCTAAATGTACTGATTGTACTGGACCTGTTTACAAATCTATATAATTTTTTTGTTTCCAAAATATTGTCTTTCAAAGGGTTATGTATAAATATGTGTATTTGTTTTAAGTATGATGACATGATACCAAATAAATGATGATGATGATAACTCAGGCCTCCAAAACTCCACAGGTACTTGGGTCTTGGTTTATAAATATGTATGTACCTTATTGATATGTAAAAAAAGTAAAGGTATGCAGGCTCCGTAATGGCGTCTGCTCAACTCGCTTGTTTACATGGCTTGTTCTTTGAAAATAACGCTTCACCTACCGATTTTTATGCACCGGACGTCTCGGAACACTGATTACTTATTGTAAAAACCCTCACATCTTGCAAATAATTCCTAAAACATGAGTTTTAAACACATTTTCAAACTTTTCGTTAACGTGCCCGGAACTAAGTGCATATACTAAAAACCGATTCAAAATGACAAATTCCGGCCATTTAGACACTCCAAAAGTCCAGAGGCGTTCCGGGAAATTTAAATATAACTTCAATTATCCCAGAACTATTTTTAGTTTTCTCGGAACGCCTCTAGAATTTTGAGTGTCTGAATGGCCGGAATTTGTCGTTTTGAATCGGTTTTTAGTATTTGCACTTAGTTCTGGGCACGTTAACGAAAAGTTTGAAAATGTGTTTAAAACTCATGTTTTAGGAATTATTTGCAAGATGTGAGGGTTTTTACAATAAGTAATCAGTGTTCCGAGACGTCCGGTGCATAAAAATCGGTAGGTGCAGCGTTATTTTCAAAGAACAAGCCATGTAAACAAGCGAGTTGAGCAGACGCCATTACGGAGCCTGCATACCTTTACTTTTTTTACATATCAATAAGGTACATACATAATTATAAACCAAGACCCAAGTACCTGTGCAAAACTCTACGCGGTACAGGTATTATATTCTAAGCCATCTGACCATGGCAAAGGGACCAACTTGACCGCCACAGAATGTTTTTACTTTCTCTGTCTTATTCACTTCATCAAACGTTGAAAGAAACGATTAATATTCAAGATTTCAGAGATTTGCTTATACTGTGTATACCTTGTCATACGTTGATACAGACTCATTGTGTGTTGTTTCCTCGTCCATAAAGAACTGCGCGGCAGTCGATCTTCTGTTTTCTGTAGCTGCCATCATCCCGTAAATATTTGTGGCAAATGAAATGCAAATAGATAAAATTAAAAATATTATTTAAAGCATTTTTCAACCGAGCCTATCACACAAACGGAAGTGAAAACTTTCAGCGTTATGTCTATATAACGATCCCGATAGAATTAATTGCCGATCCCGATTTGTTATAAGTGTGACGCACTAGCGCTGAACAAAACAGTCAAATAAATCAAATCAGATAGCCAAATTTTTTGCTTTAGAACACTTTTAAATGAACCGTTTCATCAAAAAAAAGTTGCTGAACAACATGACATTTCAACAAATGAGGTCTCTGATATGGTATTTTTTTGTAAGAATTTACGCGTAATTGTTCGCATAAAAAAAAAAGAAAAAGAAAGAAAGAAAGAAATTTTATTTTTTATATTTACATCTGTATCAATTATCTATATCAAGTAGGTAAAAATACCTGAAATATTGTAAGCTCAATCCGTGTGTTACATTGGCGAAAGAACCAAGAAACAATTGACCTTTGACATTTCTTTAAGAAAATAGAATCTTGATTAATTGATTTGTAATTGTAAATTAGCAATAACAAATGAGAAATGAGTAATTACGAATTAAAAATTTGTAATTACAAATAAGTAATTTGTAATTACAAATGAGTAATTTGAAATTACAAATGATTACAAATGAGTAATTGGTAATACAACATTGTTCATTTATTTTTGCCAATTCATTACTATTTAGCAATTGTAATCACAAGTAGTAATTTGTAATAACGAAATACTAATTTGTAATCAACATCTACATGCAGTTGTACTTATTTGTATCTTTGATAATTATTTGTAATAGCAAATATTACACATTACTTATTTGTCATATTACATATATTACTAATTTGCTAGGAAAACGAATTAAGAAGAAGGGGATGCTAAAATAAGTGTACATAATGGCGACCAGTGCTGAAGGCCAGATGATACAACAAACTTTTTTTTTCAAAATCATGAAAATAACAACTAAATCTATGTTTCTAAAAGAAAATGAATAACTTCAGCCGCATAAAGTTTCATTTGTCATTCAAAGTTTGTCAATAATGTCCAATAAAGTGATAAAAACTGGATAGCTTTATAAGGGTGATGGCAAAAAAGGAAGAAATTTGAACATCACAGAAAGTCTACCATTTCTTAATATTATAGAGATTTGATAAATGCATCATTTACACCAATGTAAGCCCATATATGATGGGGGTGTCCGTCCATTCTTCCTTCCATCTGTGCGTCCTTCCGTCCGTTACTCTTGGGGCTATCCATCTTTTATCCACAACTCCTACACCACTGAATAAAATTTGATGAGACTTTTACAGAATCTTTTTTATAGTGCCATTGTGCACTTCCTTTTTTACCTTTTAATCGGACAGATATTTGGGGTTTACCATAGCAGAACATATGGACATAGCCATTCTTTCTATAACATTTGGGGGTACCCATATCTCTTATCGGCAACTCCTCCCATACCACTGAATAAAATTTAATGAAACTTTTTCACATTCTTTATGACATTGTGCCCCTCCTATTTTATGTTCTGATCGGGCAGATGTTTGGGGTTTCCCATGGCAAAACACTGACAATGCCATTCTTTCTATGATACTGGGGATATCTATTTCTTATCAGCAACTCCTCCTAAACCAATGAATAAAATTTAATGAAACTTTCACAGAATCTTTATTACATAGTGCCATTGTGACCTCCTATTTTATGTTCTGTTGGGACAGATATTTGGGGTTTACAATAGCAACAAATGATAGAGGGTACCCATCTCTTATCCGCAACTCCTCCTATACCACCAATAAAATTTGATGAGACTTTCACAGAATCTTTATTACATAATGCCATTATGCAGCTCCTATTTTATGTTCTAATCGGACTGTTATTTGAGGTTTCCCATAGCAAAAATGGACTTTACCATTATATTCATATGGGGGCGGGGGTTTCATTGTGTGAGCTCAGTGCTCACAGTACCTCTAGATTTAGCATGTTAGAGTTTATGGTTCGGCCAGCTTTTTCAATCTTCTGAATCCACTACTGGAATTAACATTCTTAAACCACAAGAAAATGAAACGTCTTCATAGTAAAATCTAAATAGACTTGAAGTGACAGACTTTCCTTAAGTTTTAAGCCTCTTGTTTATTCAGATCTCTTCCGGCAATGAACAAGGACGAGCTATAAGTATACATCGCCCGGAAACATGCAGGAAAGACGCGCTCTAATCCTTAACAGACAAGAAAAATGGAGAGTGAATACATCCCTGTGTACTCACACAAAAACCTCGGTAACGGACGGGTCCTGCTGGGCTTCATCTTCTCTGTCCTAGGCTTCCTATTCTTCTTTGGGTCTTTCGTTATTCCGCGGTGGAACGACTTTGAGACAGAGGAGTACTTCGGCCGCGGACAGATTCGGCTTGGGAGAATTGGTTTATGGCAAAACTGCAAGTTGTATGATGACTATGATTGTGATTGGAATACAGGTAAATATACATGTTCTTCATAAAATTATATATTATTACTATGTTCCTTGCAATTAAATCATTCTTACGTTTAAATATATCTTTTCAAATGAGTTGTATACAGCTTTAGGTTTCAGTTAAATAATATACTAAAAATTTAAATCTTAATCTGAATTTATCTATATTTCTTTTCAATAACGTGACATATATTTAGGCATTCCCGGGATAGTTGCGCCGCAGCTCTTCCACAGCCTCGCTTTCGTTTTATTCTTGGTGTACTGGATACTCCTGGTTCGATGGCAGAGACAAGACAAAATGCCAATTCGGCTTCTGGAGACGGCTCTGTGCTCATTTGCTACTGGTAATCTATTTTTTGTTAACCATACCAGGTAATGTACATAAGCATCTTTGTTTACTCTGTAGCTACATGTACCTCAGATTTGATTGAGGGAAAGAGAATGAGCTGATAGGTCTCCTCTAATGGTTTTGTTGTAACCAGCGCTCCCATTAACACTACTACATTATTCTTTATAGGTTTCTGTCTGATGTTGAGTTTTCTGACATGGATAACGCAGCTTGGAACACTCTTTCAGTACAACCTCTCCATAGGATTCCTATTTTCAATATTCTCCTTTGTTTTAATGGAGCTGACGTTCGTTATACTTTTTATAGAGAGTAAGCAGGAAGCCCGGAAGCGGAAGCCACTACTGGGGGAAGACGCGGAGGAATCTCACTATGTTGAGGCAATAGAGTAGATCCGATATGGGAACTCAAAGTCCATAACTTTATATAACGTCGATTACATCCAAAAAATCAAGTTATGAGTCGGCGGGTACAACACTTAGTTCAGCTTTAACCCTAACCCTAACCCTGGTTTTGTAATGATTCAGGGAAAAAATTGTACCATCACGAGTTTAAGAGGGTCAATCGCTGTTGGACACAACCTCAGAATCATCGAGTATACTTCAATTCAGAAATTGGCATCTGAAGAAGACAGACCATTCGATTTTCAAGACAAGATGTACACGAAAAATGTCAGAGAAGTTGACTGCAGGCTTAACTTGAAGAGCTACACTGTATATGCAGAAATTTAATTCAGAGGACTATGATACCATGTATATGTTTTAAAATGATGTGATACAGCAAATTATTTTTGTCAAAGCAATTGTCATTTAAAGAAAATTATTTGAATCTTTTGTCGTCCAGGTCAATACTGTGGAATCATTTTAATTCGTGGGGGTCAATGTTCGTGAACAAGCAAAATTTTACTTGTTCGTGGGGACGTAATTTCATGGGTTACTCATTTATACGGTATATTCAATGAATCAATATGTTTACAAAATAAACGTTCGTGGGGATGTAAATTGGTGGGTAAGGGTGACCCTCGAAATCCACGCAGTCTGTCTAGAAGAATTTGCTCGATACCTAGATGCAAGGCCGGAAGATCAACGGCAAATACATTTGGGTCCACATCAAATGTTAATGCAGAAAACTTTATAAAGAACGTGATCTTTTCAACATTTACGTTAAGGTATATACAGTGTATGCAAAATATAATGAAACAGTACATTCTCTAATATTAGGTCTATAATTTTGCATGAAATTGATTACAAATCTGATATTTCACAATTGAAAAAAAAATAAAACTCAGCAGACGAGGTTAACCAAGGGACAGTTTTCAATATGGTTTTTTTCAGACTTGGTATACAAGATTATCTTTTAAATAAATAGATGAGCTAGCGCTGTACCCATCATAAAACATAGAAGCAGACATTGGTTTAATCTGCTGAATCGATTAATTATTGTGAGCGCTAGCAATAACGTCTTTACTTATTCCTGATTCTTTTTTGTTTACCTATACATTGCAATGCGCCTCACCCTTCTCTTATCTGCCATCTTAGCAGTATAAGTAAAAATAATTCTATCTTCCTGACTAAATCGAAACTTTGAAATTTTGTTCAATGTCATTTGACAATACCTCAGAATGATTAGATATGATTTAATCCAGAAATTGGCATCTTAGTGAGCAGACAATATCTCAGAATGGTTGGATATAATTTAATCCAGAAGTTGGCATCTTAGTGAGCAGACAATACCTCAGAATGATTGGATATAATTTAATCCAGAAATTGGCACCTTAGTGAGCAGACAAACGAATGAACATGTACATGAAAAATTCCAAAGCGGTTGACAGCAGGCTTTATACGAAAAGATTGAATGCAGACACACAAAATTCTGTTGTTTATAAACTTGTATTAATATTATGTCTTAATTCATGAATTCATTATCACGTCAACAAGAACAGTTTTTACATATCCCCCACCTCTGTCTTATGTAAAGTTATAGGTGTATGTGTACCAGTACTTACAACGTTTGATACCATTAACCTAATTTTGGATGAACTCTGAGATAGGGACTAATGTATACTATTTGTGCGTGATAACACGCTATTTACTTCTTTAATATATGTATCTGGATATTATAAAGAAAACCTGATCGAAATACATCATTTGACTATCCTGCAACATATCAATACTGCATCAGAGACGTATACTAGAGGTACTGTGAGCACTGAACTCACGAAATGATACCCCCGCTTCCATATACGCATAACGGTAAAGTCCTTTTTTGCTATGGGAAAGCCCAACTATCTGTCAAAACATAAAGAAGGAGGTGCACAATGGCACTGTGTAATAAAGATTCTGTGAAAGTCTCATTAAATTTTATTCAGTGGTATAGAAGGAGTTGCAGATAGAGATGGGTATTCCCGATTTTATAAAAAAGAATTGCAGTGTTCATGTTTTGCTATGGGAAACCCAAAATATATCAACTGAAACAGTAAATCTAGAGGTATTGTGAGCACTGAGCTTCCATGAGTATAATGGCACAGTCCATTTTTCTTTTTGCTATGGGGAAGCCCAAATATCTGTCCGATCAAAACATCAAGTAGGAGGTGCACAATGTACTAAGTGATAAAAATTCTGTAAAAGTATTGTTTTAAAAAAAATTATTTAGTGATAAAGGAGGAGCTGATATTATAGAAAGAATGGTAGTGTATATGTTTTGCCGTGGGAAACACGAAATATATGTCCGATCAAAAAGTAAAATAGAAGGTGCACAATGGCACTATGTAACAAAGATTTTTTTGAAAGTCCCATTAAATTTTATTCAGTGGTATAGGAGGAGTTGCAATAAGAGATGTGCCCCCAATATTATAGAAAAAATGACAGTGTCCATATATTGCTATAGGTAAGCCGAAATATATGTGTACAATCGAAATGTGAAATAGGATATGTACAATGCCACTATGTAATGAAGATTTTTTGAAAGTTTCATTAAATTGCATTCACTGGTGTAAGAGGAGTTGCAGATAAGGGATGGCTATCCCTAGTGTAACGGACAGACGGACGGACATTCCATCACTATACAACCCCTCACTTTTCAAGTGGGGGTATAGAATATATTTTTGAAATGTTCTCTGAACGTTACTGAAAGTCAAAGCCCAATTAATACATTCATTCTGTTCTCTTTCATAAGAATCTTACTTACCGGTATATAATCGTTTAAAGATTTGCAGACATTCTCTATATTATTATTGTATTCTTCTGAATATTAAAAAAAAATCTTTTTCATGTTTAACTACATCGAGTGAAAAGCAACTAACCGATTTATCATAATGTTATAGCTAAGAGTTGTATCAAAATACATGTATTTAACGTTGGAAAAAAATCTACAATAACTTAATATCTTTCGTGACTTAATGAAGATTTGAATAAAATTGAATTTATTAAATTTTTCTATATTTGGGTCATTTGTAGTCTGTATGATTTTTATACTATTTAAGATTTTTTTTCTATTTAATACTTTATAAAAAAAAAAGACATTGTATTTTCTTTAGACAAAAATATAAGGTAAAATATGCCAATCAACAACAACAACAACAACAAAAATTGGTTTTTAGAGCTAGGGAGGAAAACCTTTCATCTAGCACGTGTGTCACTTGATAACACTAACATCAAGCAAACGTGATTGGGCTCTTATGTCATGTATATACACATAACATACAGTTAGAAGATAACAATATATAAATGTTGCACAACTGATAATTTTTAGAAGGCAAAAAGTTTCTTAATTTTAGAATTATGTAAGAAGTTAAAAAGTTTAACAATTTAATCATATATTTACCTTTTATTAGAAAATTTAAAAAATTAATGTGATGCTTTTAAAAAAAATTATCACGGTATTTTCTATAACACAGACCTTATAAAAGAATATTTGTAGTATCTGGACCCTTCTATGTAAAATTAGTAATCAAAGGTCCCCATGTAATGTGGATCCCAGTTTGTACAAAACATTGCCCAGGGGCAAGAATGGGGATGCAGGGAGTCTATGGGTTTAAGTCCTCAATAGGAGTACACAAACTTTCTATGAAATTAATGTTATCATCATCATTATCATACGTTATAATGAAACGGTACATCTCAAATTGCGACGTAATGAGTTTCAATTTCAGCTTAGACTCAATTAATTATGACTTGAGTATATATTGCAGCCCAAAATTACGCTTTTATCATTATTTTTCCTATTTAAAATATATTTGCCCCCTCCCTCCAACTCATTACTTTGCGAATACTGTCGTAATAGTTTCCTTCTAGAATGTGTGTCGTTGTACTATTAATTTATCGTTATCTACAGGGTTCTAAATGCAATGCACCGATATAACAGGAGCTTAGCCTTCAGCTGTCATTTACCAGTATAATATCTCCTAAATCATAATATTTACAGTCCATAGTCCCCAGTCACAAAATTCAAGGCCCACACAACAAAAACATAAACTTGGTAGAGAGAAAGGCAGTTTCATGGCAATAAATAGAGGTGATGCTTATAGGCATGTAAAAGGAAGGGTGCACCACAAGCACCATGCACACTTTATGAATGCTTTGAAAATGCATACGATGAATCATATCATTTGCATATATCTCATTAAAATTTATATAAAAAAATAATCAATACTCGCTTTTTCATCAAGAGTTTTGTGAGTATAAGTATCTTATCGTAAATCTCAAAAAGACAACATTTTCAGAGAGTATAAAAAAAAATTTGTTTCACAATAGCAAAAATATTTTTAAATAAAACTTTTGGAAATACAGTTTCTCAATAATTTGCATCTTCTGAGAGACGTACAACTACACTGGCGGATTTAGAGGGGGTAGGGGGCTCGGACCCCATTTTGTGACCCAATGTTTAGACGAATAAATCCTTTCATTTTGAGTACTAAGCAATTGTTAGATATTGCTTTTATATACACAAAACATAGCGAAAATAACTCACAAAATTGTTTATAAAAGACTCTAAATCTGGTACCCTCCTGAGGCTTCTCCCCTCGGTCCTCCCCTAAGCTTTCCTCACATCCCGGCCTTTTGGGTCCCCTCTTTTAAAGAATCCTAGATCCGCCACTGAGCTATTTGATGCTTGCATATTTTAAAAGGTAAATGTTGAAGATAACGAACAGTGATCAATTTCATAAATCCAGTAAACAAACAGAATCGTGAACAGGGCAAGAACACGGACCCCTGGAAACACCAGAGGTGCCCAGGAGGAGTAAGCATCCCCTGTTGACCGGTCACACCGTGAGCCTTTGCACTGATTAATCAAAACATCAATAAAACTTCGGAATTTACAGTGTATGAAATGGGGTGTTTGTCTTTTCATATCTAATATGTACAGGACTGATAAATCTCCATAATTTAATATATGAGATGACGATTGGAATAGTTTGCAGTTAATTCTTGAACTATGAATTATAATTTTCGAATTATGAATTTGAGATATTTTCCTGTATAGTCACGCGTAAAAAGATGCATGGAGAAACTCGCACTAAAGTGAGTCACACTGAGGCTACAGAGAAGATAATGAAAATATAAGATATAGGGCAGCGATAAATTCAAACGTTGAGTGTATCTTTGCCGTCTTTGAACATGTAAAATGTAAATGTAAGGATTTTTATGGGTATATTGATGTGTAAATCACACAGACTTACACGTTAACTAGCGCTCTTCATAAAATATGTCACCAGGGGATGCTTACTCCTCCATGGCACCTGGCCCCACCTCCGATGTTTTTTAGAGGTCCGTGTTTGCTCTGTTCCCGATTTGTATTGTTTCAATGGACTTTCGAGCTTAATTTCTGATCGTTATCTCCATATTTCATTAAGTAACAAGTATGTGTGATTTATACACCGATAACCCACACATCCCTTAAATATAATTGCGTACTAATGTATAAAAACGTATTTACACAAAGCAACACTAATCGGATGAATAGATTGTGTTTAACCTCAATAAGTTATCAGCAAGCATGAGGTCAATACACATCTTGTTATCATGTCGTCACTTATATCAGCAGGCAATAGGTTGTTAAAATGTCGTCACTTATATCAGCAGCCATGAGGTCAATACACATCCTGTTATTATGTCGTCACTTATATCAGCAGGTATGAGGTCAATGCACTTATTGTAATCACTTATATCAGCTTGTCAAACTCGAAAGCACATATGAGAGAGAGAGAGAGAGAGAGAGAGAGAGAGAGAGAGAGATCTCACATATTTGCTTTAAAAAGACTGAGTTGGATTTTTTAATTAATTTGATTTTTGGTCTACAATCAATGTTAGTTTTTTTCCACAGATCATAACAAAAAATAATATCCTTTCATGTCAATTAATAACTCAAACTTGAAAATTTGAGAATTTAAAAAAAAAAAAAAATACTGTTACCCTTTGAAGGATGAAACCACGCCGTCCAGCGCGATAGAACTTAGAAACAGTCAATATTACTTGACTGCAGGTGATGAAAAAAAAGTTGAGTGCGTAGAATCTATGCTGCATGTTTCACCTTTATTTGTATTTGTATAAAACATTCAGTATAATATAATAAACACAGCATGTAGTTGAGGATAACACTGAAAAATTTTACCCCTGGAAAACCATTGTCAACCTCGGCTGTGCCTCGGTTAAATGACAATGGTTTTTCGGGGTGAAAATTTTCAATGTCACCTTGTACTACATGCAGTATTTATAAAGCATATGACAAAATATGACTGGAAAAGAACTCTTAAAGACGTCCATGTTTTACAGTTCATCAACTGGTGCAATGACAAAAAGGTGGAGATAACGAACAGTGTTCAAACTCAAAAATCCAGTAAAGTAGTAGTACAGTACAAATTGTGAACAGTATTTCTTTTATTCAGTTTGATCCATAAATTTCTTTTTCAACCTGATAAATATAAATTCTCAAGAATTATATTTGTTGATGAGGGATAAATATCAGGGACTTCAGTAGTCTATGTATAACCTACTTATGACAAGTGTTCTACATGTAACCGTCACTCATTCTAATTTCTCTAATTTCGTCCTACATCCATGTTCTTATTTTATAAATCTTTGTACTTTAACCAAGTACATGAAGCTAATCTAATCACACGGAGATGGCTGGTATGTTAGTCATAACTAGGGGGAAACCGAAAGTGATCTTCACTCAGAGACACATTTCATTAGTACACTCTACCATAATAAGATACAATTTTCAATAGTTTTAACGATATTAATCTACATATAGTAATGTTTTTGGTGAGAAAGAGGCATCTACTACAAAATGACACTTTTCCCAAACAAGAAATAAATAATTTATTGTGCCGGACAGAGAGATTTAGGGTTTGATAACAAACCTGCAAGAAAAATAATTAAGTTTTCAGATATTTCAAAGGACGTTGACGACAATGAGTTTACTGAGGGATATAGACTCGGATAAATAATTTAAAAAATAATAAATTAATTTAAAAATAAATCAAGAGATAGACCCTTAAATAAGCTTTAATCCATGGCGCTATCGCCCAATCCGGGCTCATCTGTAATGAAATTCGAAATTTCAAATCTACTGATGAGCCCGCATAGGGCGAAAGCGCTATGAATGGATCAAATTTAGAGTTATGTTCATTTAAATTTGGATTTTATTTTACACCGATACCAAAAATTGCAAAAAGACTCTAGACACCCCCCCCCCCCCCCCAAAAAAAAAAATTTGTAAAAATCACCGAAATAAAACAAGAACTTTAAATGATTGGATTAATATAGCAATTTAAATAAATTAAAAAAAAAATAGGAAATCAGCAATGACATTTTAATGTTTTTCGTATGATTTTTAAAAGGGGTTTTCGATAAATCATAGACTGGGTATTTAAATAAATTAAAAACTAATAAAAACACCAGGACTTCTTTTTACTATTACTCAACACAACAAACCCCTTATCAAAAAGCCTATATAAGTAAGACTTATCTAATTATAACCTTTTATCAAAAAGCATAAAAAGGTAAAACTTATCTAATTATAACCCTTTATCAAAAAGCCTATATAAGTAAGACTTATCTAATTATAACCCTTTATCAAAAAGCCTATATAAGTAAGACTTATCTAATTATAACCCTTTATCAAAAAGCATAAAAAGGTAAAACTTATCCAAATATAACCCCTTTATCAAAACAAGTAAAACTTTTCTTTAAGTTAGTATTATTTATTTATAACCCCCTTTATCAAAAAGCCTTAAAAAGTAAGTTTTTTTCTTTAAGTATATAAGTAAGACTTCTCTAACTATAAGCCCCTTATCAAAAAGCCTAAAAAAGTAAAATTTATCGAAACATAAAATATCCCTTCATCAAAACAAGTAAAACTTTTCTTTAAAGCAATATGAGCTGCATTTTTGAGCATTTTATTTTGTTGTTAAAATGTGCTGTTATGATAAATCTTTATGCAAATAAAACATTTATGATCAATTCGACTAAAATGAAGTATTAATTTTTTTCAAAAGAAAGATTTCTGTACAATGGAATGTATAGTATTTTATAAGAAATCAATATTGTACAGGACGACAATAATGTAATTTTGCTTCAATCAAAGCTTCTAATAGTTCTTCCGACGCAAATATGAACAACAGAAGTTTATAAACGTGTCTTTTTTCTGTCAATGAAATAGTTTTTTACAATATTGCAACAAAAATTTCCGACATCAAAGTTGCAGCTCATATTGCTTTAAGTTAGTATTGTTTAATTATAACCCCCTTTATCAAAAAGCCTTAAAACAAGACTTCTATAACTGTTATAAATGAACGCCTTCATTCAAAAGCCTAAAGAACTAAAACCATTATCCAATTAAATTTCTTTCATTAAGAAAAATTTAAATCTAGGCACACCTTACCGAAGGAAGCTGACAGAGTGGAGAAAAAAGGAAAATGTTTTTGAGGGAGTTTATAATAAATTATCTGTCAGACTTAAAAAAAAAATCAACATGTTTTTCATGATAAATGTTTGGTGAGAGGGAGACAAAGTAAAAAATTAATTTAGTAGTTCTTTGGTAAAAAGTGTGGGATGAAATTGCAATAAAACAATTGTGCCCACCTTCAGTTACACTACAGCCTTTTAGATCAAGTCGAACATAGACATCCTAGACTTATGCAACATTTTTTTTTTGGCTAAAATTAAAACAAAAATAAAACTACAGATTGCACCACAAATAGGTAACTGATATTTAAACACACAATCACATCCAATGACAATAAACTTTGTATGACCGCTCATTGTTAAATCTAGAAGCTGTATCATATGATAACTGTGAACTTTGTTCCTAGGCCCTGATTGCAGTAATGCTAAAGGGTTAGTACGACAAAGTGCGTAATTAATAATCAGGGTTCAGCATTTCTTATCACTGCACTTTACTCTCACTCGACTACTATAAATTGACAACATCCACCCCGAAAACTTAAACACATAGAAGCCACCGCCGAGCTCCCACAATGGAGCGTACATTACTACTCCTAGCCTTAACGGCTGGAATCTGGGCGGGTAAGTCTCAATTCTTATTTTATTTCTGAATTTTAAATTCTTCATTCATTATACATTGAAAAATTACATCATTTTTGGGAAAATTCAATCGAAAAAAAAGAGATTCATTATCATATTTCATCGTTATAAAGGATAAAGATGCTTATTTTCCGCCATTGAAGTCTTTGAAAAAAAACCTTTGTTTAAATAAAAAAAATGAATTAAGATAAGTTAAATGAAAAAAAATGAGAGCAATTATAATAATGTATATGTACATATTTATAAAATAAAAATCGAATGTAATTAATATGATCATTAATGTTATGTAAGAATGTGACGATAACTTTTTTTTCAACAAAATGTCTTAATACGGGACACACTTTTAAAAAAGTGAAGATAAAACGTTGATACAATTCATAATATTACATTTTAAATTAATAATTATAGTATTTTTGAATTTAGAAATAATTACATAATTTTATTAAAATATTAAACCCTTATTATAAAAATATCTTTTTGAACTCGATAATGGGATAAATGAATGAGAAAATATGAAACTTTTGACTGTAATTACTCATCCGACATACTACATAATTGTGGTATTTTTGAATTTAGAAATACACATGTAATTACATAACTTTATTAAAACCTTAATCTCTAATTATAAAATAAACCTTTATGAACTCGATGAATGAATGAGAAAATATGAAACGTAAAATGTAATTACTCATCCGACATTCGGCATCATTGTTTGTGAAGTGTATGTAATAACAGCAGTAGTGCTGTAAGTGGACTTTTGGACTTTGCTTTATAGTTCTCTTGCTTCATCACTAACTCTCGTGTAAAGTCATTACGTGCATATCACAAAATCAAAATGTAAAAATGTAAAAGTATCATCTTCAGATAAATAAGTTATTAACAACGTCGAATCTAAATAAAATTTGAGACGGAAAAATTTGATCAGGAATATTACAGTTTAAAATTGAATTATTACACAAAAATGAAAAATACTTGTAAACAACTTCATTTTTCCGAATAATGAAAAACTTATTCTGAAATTCAATTTACATTAAATTCGTGTATAAATGCATGTACTTTGATAACAACATAAGAAAAAAAAAAAACTGAACTCATCAGAAGTTGTTCAATCCGCATGAAACAAACATGAGCTGTCGGTTTTGAAATACTTGGCATATACCTGTGTTACTTGATATTTTATGATTTTCATTTTTCAGGACCAATAACCGATATAACTTCACGTGATACATGCTCAACGACATGCACTGGTGATTATAATTCGTTCTTAGTCAATTAACAATATGTTTCCTGTAAAGACTTTTACTTTCCTTTTAAAGCGTTACTTTTCCAGTCATAATATCGTTCATATTCAGTTTCATAACCAATTATTCTATTATTCGTATCTAGACTCAACCAAATTCGGATATCAACCTGGAACTACCTACGAGTACGATTACGATGTTGACACAACAACTCTCATTCAGGGGGCATTTGAAGGAAAATCCGGGATGAAGATGACAGCGAAAGTTCAAGTGGAAGTGTTGTCAAAATGTGACCTTGTACTGGAGGTCAAAAGCGTACAACTCCACGAACGAAACCCCGAGTCCCCAGAAAACCTGATCCTCTCAACAATGTCCAGAGAATTCAGCAGTCAGCTGGAAGAAAACTCACTGAGATTCTCTTTCCAAGATGGCCGCATCGAGTCTCTGTGCCCTGCTGAAAGGGAAAAGACCTGGGTTCTCAACATCAAGCGAGGTATCCTGTCAATGATTCAAAACACCATGGAAGATCTGCAGGTCGACCAGAAAGTTAGAGAGGTCTGTATAGTATTTTATCGCTGTTCCTTAATAACTTCTAACCCATACTGATACTAAAAAACAAACAGAAAAATATGTTGTTCAACGTATTTCTTAAACCATCAACTTCTTTCATTGAATCTAGGCGGACGTGACAGGAACTTGTGATGCCGATTATACGGTGTCCGAAGATGGGTGGTACACAGTAACAATCAAGAAGCACAAGAACCTCTTGGGGTGCACAGAACGCCATGGATACCAGACAACACTACAAGGAACACCCTACAGAGTGCCATCGGTATGTTCTAGGGCTTCAGTAAGATATGCTATTTTTTATCATGAAGATATCTATGAAACACGATTCACATAGCTCCATTCATTTCGATAGGAAATCCAATCCATGCCTGTCATGAAGAGTAGTCACTCTTGCCAGCAGGAAATCAGCAAATCTGGAGTCCTGAAGGGATCATCTTGTACTGAACAACATGTTTTCAGGCCTTTCTCACGTAACGATAAGGGTGCCATGACAGAAAGCAAGCAGACACTGAAATACGTATCTGAGAAGAGCGGAGTGTCAGCAGCACGTATGTTTCCATATCATGCGTTTTTTGTTATATCAAAATACTTCTAGTTAAAGACGTGGTATTTTAATGAATAATTTTATTTTCAAGGATCTGTAAGTCGAAAGACTGACATGAACTTTGAGCATCATTATGATGTTGCCAGTAACACGAAAACCCGTAAGGATATTGAGAGACAACTAGTCAACATTTGCGCCCAAACAACAGAGGATGTTCGTCCTGAGACACCTCGTCTTTTCTCTGACCTTGTTTACATCATGCGAGCAGCTGATTCTCAGACACTGAAGGATGTTTATTCCAATGTACAGAGTGGTTCTCTTTGTGGCAACAACAACCAAAAAGTCAGGTTTGTATACTTTTCCATGACAACCACCTCTGATGGTATATTATAGTGGTATATTGCGTTATCTGGATCAAAATTAAATGTCTCCATTTACAACGTAACAGAAAATTCTTTATGGATGCCATTCCCATGGTTGGAACCTCTGCCTCTGTTGCAATGCTATCTAAAATGATCAATGACAATGAAGTAACTGGAATTGAGGCTGACATGTGGTTGACAACTTTAGCTTTCATTCCAAGCCCTTCAAAGGACATGATCAAAGATGTTCAGGTACGAAATGAATTATAAAACAGATACTTTAAAAAAGAAAATTCCATGAATTCTAGAGATTATTGAAATTTATTTTTCTCATATAGCCTCTTCTAAAGAAGAATGGTAAAGCCCTGTTGGCCGTAAGCTCATTAGTTAACACCTACTGTAAGACCGCTGAATGCGAGAACGACATGGACATTGCTAACGTCATTTCTGCACTTGAGGATAAAATTGGATATGGATGCTATGTTGATGAAAACAACAAAGATAATGTAAATAAAATTGTTTTTGGTCATGAATTATATATATGTAAAAACCATCGGTTTTTATAATACATATTAAATTATTATTTTTTTTTTTACACTTTAAAACTTTCAGATCGTCTTGACTCTTCGTGCTCTTGGAAATTCTGGCCACATCAGTTCAGCAACTGCTACAGTTAACAGCTGTATTTCTCGAAAAGACAACCCAATAGAAGTACGAATTGCTGCAATTGAGGCCTTCCGTCGTGCTTCATGTGACAATGATGTATGCTTTTTAGTCTTTCTATTATAAGAGTATTTCATTTTACCTCACAGATAAAAGCCTTGACTTATAACATTTCGCTATATCTTATAATGGAAAGCATATTCATGTAGATTTCTTATTGACTTAAAAAAATTTACAATTTTCATTTCAGAGAACTGAAGCATTAAAGGTATTCAATGACAAAGAGGAAGATTCTGAAATGCGAATTGCTGCCTACTTGGCCCTCATGCAGTGTCCATCCACAAGCATTCTCTCTACTGTTCGATATGCTCTGGAGAAAGAAGAAGTCAACCAAGTAGGCTCTTTTATCTGGTCTCACCTAACAAACCTTATGGAATCCTCCAGTCCCTTGAAGCAGGATATAAGATCTATCCTGGAGAGTGAATACCTGAAAAAAGAATTCAACATGGACAAAAGAAAGTTTTCTAGAAATTATGAAGGATCCTTCTTCCTGGAGAAAATCAACACTGGGGCTTCTGTTGAAAGCAATTTGGTCTGGTCATCCAAATCCTTCATTCCACGATCATTGATGGCCAACCTGACTGTAGACTTGTTCGGAAAATCGGTCAATATTCTTGAAATCGGTGGACGAGTTGAAGGTCTGGAATACTTCCTTGAGTCTTACTTTGGACCCAATGGCTACTTCACTGAAAAAGATGTCAAGAAAGCAACAACACAGGTTATAAAAGGAGTTGATACCAAGAAAATGAATAAAATCGAAAGTCAGGTATGAAGAGAATTTTCTGACTACTATTATGTACTTTCTACAACATAAAGACATCTTAAAGATTTCAAACATATAACATCATTTTAAAATATTTGTAGTTTGGTATGGGGATGGATCAACTTAAAGGAGCTCTCTACCTTCGAGTGTTTGGAAACGAACTCTCCTATAATAGTTTCAATGGCCTTGACAACCTTTTAAGTGGTGATAGTTTCAACATTCTTGAGATGCTGATCAGCATGTCTAAAAATCACGACTACACATTCACACAGAACATCATGTTTTTGGACACTTCAATGATCATTCCAACAAGTGCTGGATTCCCACTTAATCTGACAATCAACGGAACTGCCACAATAGACATGAAAGCCTCTGGAAAAGCGGACCTCCGTAAAATGGGTACAAGTCCCATGAGTCTTCTCATTAGCGGACGCATCCAACCGAGGTAAAAAGTAATTACATGGTGAAAAATATGTCTTTTGACCTTCTAGTTTGCAATTTTTCAAGTGAAACCATCAATGCCATCGTTTCAATTGCTTCTATTTGTAGCGCTGCAGTCGAAATTTCGAGCATGATGAGCGTTGATGCTTTTGTGACAAAGAGCGGATTGAAGATGGTATCAACACTTCATTCCAGCACATTGCTGAAGGGTCATGTAGAGCTACAAGATGGAAAAATCTTTAATGCCAACCTAGATATGCCTAAGGATAAAATAGAAATTTTTAGTCTCAAGTAAGATACTTGTGAATTGCTATGCAATGGTTCATTACCCCTTTACAATTCAAATATTATACCTACATGTCGAAATAACTTATTATCATTATTATTATGATTATTATTATATTTTGCAGAACTGCTTTCTTTACCCTTCACCGCGACGTAGAAAAAGAACAGAAAATGATCACAAAAAATAAACAAACACACAAAACATGCACGGGATTCAAACTTGCCAAAATCACTGGATTGAAATTGTGCGGAGAAATCCAGTTTCCCAATGCATCTCTTGAGGCGAATGCTCCATACTTTCCTCTAACAGGGCCAGTGAACATGGATCTCTCTCTGGTGAAAGAGGATTCACACAAATCATACAATGTAGAAGCCAGATTTACAAAGGTAAAGTATTGATAGTTGTTATGTGTAGTAATCTTTTCTGTACACAAAGAAAATCTTTGTTAATTGATAATGTGCATAATGTTTGCTTTTGTTTTATTTTAATTAATATTTTTGTTTTCTGTCTTAGACCAAGAAAGACGTTAATATCCGTATGGCGTTTGACACGCTAGGATCACGAGTTGATAGAACTCTTTCTGCAGAATTTTTACTTGACAAAAAAGGTTCCAAGGTCGAGTTTGGTGTACAGTCTCCATGGACTAAAGCTGTTTTCACAGGTATGCTGCAGGAATCCATGTTTATCATAATGAATGAATAATTCTTTATTCGTGTAATCTATGTTAAACGCTTGTTCCATCTTTGGCATAGGTAAAGTTCAGGATGAGAAAAATCTAAAACACGTCAGTGGAAAATTCGTCTACGGAAAGAGGGAATACTCTGTTGTTGCCGAAGTAGCAAAATCAAGGAAGGGTAACAGCTATGAATACAAACCCCATGTCGAAATAACCGCTCCCAAAATGAAGCCCATCCAACTTAAAGGGGGAATCAAATATGAAGGGATGAAGCTTTTGGATGCTAATTTGATATTAAGTGGGGCATCCAAACAACCAATCAAAGCAGAAGGTAACTATTGACAATTGAATTACTTCTAATAAATTGTCTCAAAAATTTCCACATAAAATTGATTTGTATTAAATACATATATATTATGTATGTGTTTTTTTTAGTTAACTACTCTAAGAAAAGAATAGTGGTATTAGCCAAAGCGAGTATCAGCTTTGAGAAGAAGAAAGAATACGCTATTGAATCCAGAGTTCAGAAGTCAGCAACCAAGAAAGCTGTCAGGTACAGGCCATACCTGTCGATCAAATCACCAGAGAAGGAACTCATTAGTTTCGGGGGCTCAGCGGAGTACAAGACTGGAAAAGCATTGAAAGTGGATTTAACCGTTGATCGCATCGTTTCAAAGCCAATGAAACTCTTGGGTACTTTTAGAAATAACAATTATTGCTTAATCAATGAAATCTTTTACCTTTGTGTTTCATCCACAAAATAAGTATAAATCAATTTTTTTTCAGTCCAAATAAGAGATGGAAGCAACAAGAAGAGTAAAGGTATCAGATCCAGAATAGACATTAAGTCACCAGTCTTAACCACCAAATGGACTTCCATGCTCATGCTTAAAAATCAAAAAATAGGCATCGTCCGCTCTACACTTGACTACGTTATTCCTCGAGTCAGCAGAGACAAGGTAACCCTGAATGGAAAACTGAATGTCCGCAACACAAAGAGCCTTGCAGCTGCCAAAGGAAACATGTAAGACAAATGACTGATGTATAGTATAACCACTTGTCTTCTGGAATTTTTATTTACTTATTAATTTTGTTAATTCAAAACCACTAAGGAAGCTTAATTTTTTAGGGTTTTAAATTTTAAACAACAATCTGATTACAACCTCAACGTCAAGTTCGATATCAGTAAGAACTGGAAACATTCAGAAGCTAATGTGATTGCCATATATGGACCTAACAAGAAAGATTTCAAAAAACGCATCGAGGTGGACAGTAAAATGAATCACATTATTAACTGGAAACAGAAGAAAATCAATATTGATGCCAGCAGCAAATTCATATTCCCATATTTTGTAAGTACATTACTAATAGAATTTCTTCAATTCATTTCGGTAATTTTTTTCATTATTCTTTGGAAATCAATTTGCAAATTATTATTTATTCATAGGGTGTGAATTACCAAATGAAAGGAAAGCACGTACAGACCTCCAAATCCATTGATTCATCCTTGGATGTCCTTTTTGGAAAGAAATCCTCCTACAGTGCCACACTGGAGTTGAAAGACAAATCCAAGAAATTTACAAGTATGGTTGGTAAATTTGGTATTTCTATCCCAGGCAGAGATATCATCATTAGTAATGTATTTGATCAAAACAATGCCAAAAAATACAGCAACGTCCTGACAGTTCAGCTTGAGAGTGGGAAGAAAAGTATTATCCAAACAACGCTGCGCAATGTTGCTACAAACGAGTACGACATCACAACTTCTTTCAATGTTCCAACATTTGAACTGCTAACAGTCTCAGGACAATACAGACTCATACCTTCAAATCTACAGGCTAATTCTGAAATCCAGTATGGAAAGACTAAGTATGCTATGGCTTTGTCATCTCTTGTCCGAACTGGATCGCGAATTCAACTTGCAGGTGAATTGGAATGCCCCACTCGCAAAATCACAGCTGAGTTTGACACTAGAATGAAAAACCCCGTGTACTCAAGTAAACTTGATGTCAAATGGGATGCAAGCAAAGACCCCTCAAAACAACTGATGCTGCAGGGAGAAGTAACCAAAGGAGATCAAAATGTGGAAGCTACACTATCCAAAGTAAGCCCTCTAGGATCCGGCAGTCTTAGTTTGAAACACCAGAGCGGTGATAAGTACATAACTCACGCCCATGCAAAGTGGAATAAAGAAATGGTTTCCATGGACTCTACCTTTGGACAGGAAAAGAATGGTTACAAAGCAGGTTTAAAAATTAAATCTCCATTTAAAAACTACAAATCCATCAACATTGATTTCAGCCACCAAAATGATAAAACAAAGTCTTCATCAACCATTGACATCGACTGGAAACCAATGAAGCGCATGTCTTCTACACTGTCATTAAAGCAACCATTACGATGGGATGATATGGAAGCTACTCTTGATGTAAAGACACCTATTCCAGGATTTGAAAGATCAGGAATTGAAGTAAAACACAAAAAGTCTGACAGAATAGAAAGTATGATCAAGTTCTCCTGGAACAAAGATTTTCTTCAAGCAGATATCCTTGCTGCAGACAAAAGCTCAGTATCCTCTAGAGATCTCACCGGAAGGTTGAGTCTGAAATCCACTCTTGAAGATATTACATCTCTTTATGCCGCTGTGAAACATGTGGACAACGGACAGAGGTTTGAAAACAGCATTAACTTCGAGCACAATGGAAAAGCATACGGCTACGAAGGGGAAATTACTCATTTCCGAAATGGGTTGCATTTGCAGAACAGTGGAAACATCAAGCTGAGGAGTCCATCCAGAAAAGTAGAATCCTCCTGGTCACACAGAAATACATTTGAGGACATCCAATCAAACTTTAAGTTTGCATCCGGTGCTAGCAACATTGACTTTAGCTTGAATGCAAAGCAGAGTATGTCAATTCCACGAGGTACATTGTCTGTCAAATCCGAACTGCGCTCCTCATTTGACATCGTTGAAGATATTGCCTTGGAGATTTCACATGAACATGGGGTTGGAATGATCGATAACCAGATTCAATACAATGTCAAAGGAAAGAAAGTCTTCTCCTTGATAAATATCTATAAAAGAAACAGCGGAGTTGCATCTTCAAGACATACTTGTTCATGTCATGGAATTACAAAGACCCTGACTGTATCCTCTCAATATCAAGGTTATCCTCTATCTGGCAGAATTGAGTATCTGTCCAATAAGAAATCAGAGGCTATGATTGATGGTACGTTTAATATTTCCCCAGTTGGACTGATGAGTGGGAAACTCGAAGCAATGATGAGTCATGTTGATGAATTGAAAACATTGAAGATTACAATGGATCAATCGAACGAGCGAGGTGAAACTGTTACCAGATCATCTATCGTCCTTCCTACTGGAGACACAATCACGATGGAAAACCGTGGACAATGGGGAGATAAGAAGAGCTTGAACACTATTTTGAACACCCCATATAAAAATCTTCGCAAAATGACCATTGGTGCCGAGTTTTCAGGTAACTACAAATCCTTCCATACAAGCGCTAACATGATGATCAATCCACTCTTTGGACCAATGTCTGTCACATCCCAATGGAGTTCATATGGTGGAATAATTGCTAGCATTCAAGTCAACACTCCATTTGAACAATACAAACAAAGCCGTATCTCATTCACACACAATAATCAGAGAGAGAAAAAAGTAACAGAATTGAGTGTTGAATATTTACCAGGCAAGACAATAAAGTTGGAGTCTTCTTTGCAACCAAATCTTGAAAACCTAGAGGGTAGCATTGCATTAACAACACCATTCCAAGAACTTCCATATTCAGCAGCATCTATTCGCCATAGCGGTGATAGTCGTCAATTCCAATGCCATGGAGAAATTGAATACACCCGAGGGAAAAAAATCCAAGGAGATATAACCTTTTCAAATAGCAAAAAAGTAGAAGGAACCTTAGTACTTAGGTCTCCTTTTGCTAATGATTTCATTGCTGCATTTAACCACGAAGGATCTCTTTCTCAATTCTCCTCCCACGCAGAAATGCAGTATGGGAAAGCAAAAAAATATGAAATTACCGGAAACTATGGCAATTTAGCTGGAAATATTATTATTAAATCTCCTCTCCATGAAGACATGTCTGCTTCTTTTAAACACAAGGGAAGTATTTTCGATTTCGATACACACATTGACGCTTTGTACGGCAGGGGTAAAAAGTACGAATTGGATGCCAAATACCGTCAACTGTCTGGAACTGTAAGCTTCAAATCTCCTCTCTTAAAAGATATGAGTGCTTCATTTAGCCACATAGGAGAACTAAAAGACTTTATTTCCAACGCTGAATTCCAGTATGGCAAATCAAAGAAGTATGAAGCAAACATGAAGCTTTCACTCACTAAAACATCAACAGGATCAGTTTCATTCTCCTCCCCAGTCACAGATGATTTTGCAACATCCTTTTCACACGAAGGCCACATGAAAGACTTCAAAATTACTTTCGATGGTAAATATGGGAAACATAAAGGATCAGTCATGTCAGCGTTTAAAAATGCGAAGAAGATTCTTGGGTCCTTGGAGCTCAAATCTACCTTTGTCGACAATATGAAAGCTGAATTTTCCCATGAAGGCACTTTAAGAAATTTTGAGACCGGTGCCTCTTTGACAAAAGGAGGAAAGGCTGTAATCGAAGGGTCTGTTGCATTTTCAACCGCAAAGAGAATAAGTGGATCAGCGACATTGAAAACACCATTTCACAGGGATATTTCAGCAACATTCAAACACTCTGGTGATCTTTCCAAATTTCAGACGACAGGAAACATAAAGATGGACAAAAAAATACAGTTTAAATTGATTGCTAACGTTGTAATTAAAAAGAGAGCAAAAGCAACGATCCAAATTGAAAATCCTTTTACCGAACCCATCAAGCTTACGATGACCAAGAAAGGAAAACCAACAAACATGCGAGTAATTACAAATGCTTTTATCGGAAAAGGAAAGAAATATACGTCTGATATCACCCTGAAGCGAGGATCAACATCTGCCGTTATCGTTAACATTGTCACTCCTATACCAGGATACAAAAAAGTGAAGGGAATCTGGAACTTTAGTGGGAACATGAAGAGTTTTAAAACCTCTGCTCGAGGTTCAATTGGAAAAGAGTCCATTGCAGCAGATATCAAGATGTCTCTCCGACCAAACTTCAAGGCCGACCTTTCTGTGGAGACACCATTTAAAGGATACAAAAAGGCTGGCGTCATCCTTTCTCATCAAGGTTCCCTAAAGAACTTCCAGTCCCATGGAGAGGTAACAGTGGGAAAGAACAAGCTATACAATGCCGATATCATGTTTGCTGTAGATCCGAAGATCGCTACCTCCATTGTTCTTCAAACTCCATTCAAGAACTTTGAAAAAAGCGAAATGTCTGTAACACATGATGGTTCTTTAAGAAACTTCAACAACCAACTCAACATCTTATTCCCTAATAAAAAACGCATTTTGTCTAGTCTAAAAGTTGATTCTCGATCAGATATTTCAGTAGAGGTCTCACTCCAAACACCCTTTAAAAACTACGAAATGATGCAAGGATCATTTTCCCATAAAGGCAACTGGAAGAACTTCCAAATTCATGCCGAAGGCTCTGATGGAACAAATAGGAAATTGACCGGGGAAATTGGAATGAAACTTCTTGATCAAATAACGGGTTATCTAAAGTTTACAAGTCCATTTAAGTCGGCACAACTTTTAAAGGCCAGTGCATCACACGACGGAACATATAACAATTTCCATAGTCATGCTGAATTTGAACTTAATAATGACAAATCTGAAATTGATGTCAATTTCAGTTCCCTAGTTAAACTAGAAGGAAGAGTTCTTGCCAAATCGCCATACTTCCAAACAATTGACGGCACCTTTGCACATGAAAGTTCTCCAGTTTTGACTACAACTGCAATCAAATATGGAAGAAGAAGTCTTTTGGACGGGAAATTGTCTCTTAAATCATCTCCTCTCCAAGGATCCTTGTTTGTGAACTCCATTTACACCAAACCTTTGAGAGCCAGCTTGACCCACTCAGGAACACTCCAAAGATTTAACACAGAGGCTGAAATCACTTATGGAAAAGAGAAAATAAAATCCAGTACAGAGTTCGATTGGACAAATGATTTATCTGCTAGAACTTCACTGACAACAACATTGGGAAAAGTCAAAACTGTGGAAGCTTCGTTTTCACATGCTGGAAGACTGAGCAACTTCAAATGTCATGCTGAGGCATCTGCTAACGGTCAGATTGTTGAAGGTGACTTAACATTTGCAAGCATTAATTCGCTTGAGGGGACACTGTCCATACGCACACCATTTGCTGATTATAGAGAAAGTGACTTCCTCTTCCGACACAGTGGTGGAATACTCAATTTCAACAGTCATGCTGAATATTCACATGAAGGCAAAAAATCTGAAATTGAGTTGAATGTTGAAATGGACAAGAGAGTTAATGTTATCGGATTTGTTAAAAGACCATCTACCAATGATATCATGTTTAAACTGACTCATGCTGGATCCAGCCAGAAATTCAAGAGCGGAACTGAGTTGATCTACGGAGGAGAAAAGAAAATCCAAGGAGAAGTGTCCTTTGATACAGTTCCTTCACTTACCTTCCAAGCTTCCCTGACATCAAAATGTCCAGTTGTCAGGAACATCCAACTTTCTATTTCACAAACTGGTGCATCTGAAAATTTCAACATTAGATCTTCAGCAAGTTTCAATGGCAAAGAAGTAACAGGAAATGTTGGGCTTGACCGACGCAGCGGAATCAATGGCTACTTTACTCTGAAAACTCCAGTCTCCGAGGATATCATGGCATCACTCAAACATAATGGTCCCTTTACAAACTTCAAAACTGTTGGAGAACTTTCATACAGTGGAAGAAAACAAATCGAATTTGACGTATCACTCGATGCCTCGTCATCTATTATCGGACAAATATCATTCAAAACTCCCATAAGTGCTTTAAATGATATCAAAGCTAATTTCCGTCATGAAGGGGACCTGAGCAACTTCAAAAATTCAGGGTCAGTCAGTGTCTCTGGGAACGAAAAGATATCTTGTGATATGTCCTACAGCTCCAATCCCATATCTGGATCTTTCAATATCAGAAGCGTTCTTGGAAAATTGAATGGAGCATTCAATCATATCCAGTCATCAAGATCAATGAATTCCCATGCTGAACTTAATGCTAATGGCTACAATTCCCAAATAGATGCCACTTATTCCAACGATGGTATTAAAGAAGGATCCGTATCTATATCAAGCCCAATCTGTGGAAATATTGGCGCCACTTTCACTCATGATTACAATGATGCCCAAATCACAAGCAGTATAAAAATGCATTCAGAGGACAAAAGTATTGCTGCAGCAACTGAGATTGCCTTTGTTGACGGTGTAAGTGGAAAAGTTTCTTTAAAATCTCCATTCCAAGGATTCGAACAACAATCTATTTCCGCCAAGTATGCATTTGCTGAGGATTTCGCCGGGGATTTCACAATTGATTACAATAATGGACAAAGAATAGAGGGCCAGATGTCATTAACAGGTAGAGACTTCGTAGAAGGTAAACTTGTCATCAAAACTCCCTTTGAAGGCTTCAGAGAGTCCAGTGCTGACGTATCGTATACCATTTCCTCTTCTGGGTTAAAGGCAACTGCTAAAGCTACATTCCGTCAGCAGAGCGTTTCATCTGATATTAGCTTTGCCAAAAATCCACTTCAGGGTAGCATTATATTGAGAACACCTTTTATGGGCTTTGAAGAAATGAAATCTTCCTTTAACCATGTCAGTTCTGGGTCTGGCTTCAAAAATCACATTGAAGGAACAATAGGTGGAAAAACCATTCAAGCTGATACTTTCTTCAACCACAGAAATTCTATAATTGCAAGTACCACGATTAATACTCCGGTACAGGGAATGAGAAAACTTTCAGCCTCTTTCAACCATGAAGTAAAGGACAGTGGTATTTCGACCGTAGCTAAAGCAGGAATTGAGAAAGAAGAATTATTACTTGAGGCCACATTCAACAAAAGACCAAGTGTCACAGGCGCTCTTAGGGTTTCAACACCTTTCTCAGGATTTGAAGACCAAAGAGTGTCCTTCAATTTTGAGAAGACACTGCTGGGTTATCAATCACAGGCCGAAGCTACTTATCAGACGAAAAAGATCGAAGTAACCGGTAATCTGAATATCGATACAATCGTTGATGGAGATCTCCAAGTCATCACTCCTTACTCAGGTTTTGAAAGACAGAAAATCTCATTCAGAGGCGAAAGTAACAAAGTACACGGTATATTGTTATTCAGACAGAAATCAGTTGAGGTTAATGGTGAACTTATGTCTGATCAAGGATCACTCTCGGTTGAGTCGTCTTTTCCAGGTTTTGAAAGTCAAAGAATAAGCTATACGACTGATGACAAGAAAGGCCATGTAGAAGGCACCTTTAGACAAAAGACAATTGAAATTGATACATATCTTTCTACCAACAAAGGTAGTCTCTCAATCAAAACACCTTTCACTTCTTACGAAAATCAGAACATAATGATTACCATTGATGGCCAGAAAGCCCATGTAGAGGGCACTTTCGGACAAAAGACTATTGAAATCGATGGAGAACTTTCCGCCAAGAAAGGTAGTCTCTCCATCAAAACACCTTTCACTTCTTATGAGAATCAGAATTTACTTTTTACCATTGATGACCAGAAAGCCCATGCAGAAGGCACTTTCAGACAAAAGACCATTGAAATCGATGGAGAACTTTCTCCCAACAAAGGCAGTCTCTCAATTAAAACACCTTTCACTTCTTACGAAAGCCAAAATATCAGGTTTTTAAAGAAGGGCTCAAAAATGCAAGTTGAGGGAACATTTATGGAGAAAACGGTTGAAATTGACGTCACTTTCAAAAGAGGTAAAAGAATGGAGGGACAAATTGCTATTAGGACACCATTCCATGGTTATCTTCAACAGGAAGCTTTCTTTTCTCACGAAATTACCAGTGAGAGTTGCCAGACACACGCTGAGATGATCTTCAATGAACAAAAGTCAGAGTTTGATCTTAATATTATCAGGGGAAGTAAAACTGGATTTAAAGTATCTCTAAGAACACCTTTCAATGGCTTTGAAGAGCAGGACTTCCTCCTTGAGTTTGAGAGATCATCCAGAGGTTTAACTGGACGCGCAGAAGGCAACTTTAAAAGAGAGAAAATTGAAGCCGATCTAAGTATTGAATTTCAGCCACAAATTTCGGGCAATCTTATTGTAAAAACACCTTTCGAAGGATACGAGAAACAAAATATGCAATTTACATACCAAATGACATCTCGGGACATCACATCCCATCTGGAAGGTTCATTCCGTCGGCAAAGATTAGAGGCAGATCTTTCTGGATCTATTCAAAATGCAGGTATGAATGTGAATTTTAAGATGCAAACACCTTTCAGTGGTCTTGAAATTGTTAGCGCCCAAGCTACAAGCTCGTGGTCCTCCTTTGGATATCATGTCCACGTCGAAGGTGGAAACAATAAAAACAAACTTGAATTCGATAGTTCTCTGGATACCTCAGACGCAGTATTGGCTTCCATGTCTCTTAAGACACCTTTCTCTGGTTTCGAGTCTACATCATTTTCATTCAACAAAGATGGACCTTTGAAGAATCTAGACGTATCCAGCACTTTGGTCTTTGGATCCTCTCAAACGGCATCAGTCTCCCTACGTAACATTGTAAGAGAATCATCATCCGAACACATGTTGAAAATTCTGAGCCCTTACACCCATATTTCTGCCATGCATACACAGTCCTCAGATAGTGGTTCAGTTCAATCTCAAAGCGAATTTACCATGGGAGACCGGTACAGTTTAACTCATACTAATTCTCTGCAATACAATGACGATCCTTTGATCGACTTCACGTCTACAACTACTTACACTATTGATGGTGTTAGTTCCACAACAATGACAAAGGTACATCATGAAGGCTCACTTCGAAACTTCAAGACTGACGTCATGACAAGGTATGGAAATGAGGAATCAACAGTATCAGTGCAGTTCAAAAATACAGACGCAATCGAAGGCTCCCTAGCAATAAAATCACCAGTGCAATACCTTCGTGACATCAGCGCTAAATTTTCCCACAGCGGTGACTTTGATCAATTCACTACCTCCGGTGATTTCCAGCATGAAATGACAGGAAAAGTAGAAGGAACATTGGCATTTTTCAGACAGAACTGGCGTCGTGTCAATTCTAATTTGGTAATCAAAACACCTTTTAGTGGATTTGAAAGAACAAAACTGAGCGTGAAACACACAGCAAATAGAAACAGCGTCAGATCATTTGTTGATGTTACATACGGATATGATCAAAACATTCGAGCTTCAGCAAAAGGATCCATTGAGCCTATGGAAGCAGAACTTTCATTTACATCTCCATTTAAAGGATTTGAAAATCTTCAAGCAAGTGCCAAAACTTCAATAATAGGAGGTAAATACAACGGAGATGTGGTCTTATCAAGTCAAGACCGTGCAATATCTCTAAAATCTAATCTTGATGTTGACTCAACACCTATGTCAATTGCTATCGTCCTTGCAACTCCATTTTCTGGACTGGAATCAATAAAATTAGCTGGTTCACACAGAGGAACTTCTCTTGACTTTACCACCAGTATTGATCTGCAAACATCCTTTGGAAATGCGAAGTCTGATGCTAGCTTCAGGTTCAACTCTATTTCTGATGCCGATGGTTCATTTTCCTTGGCCAGTGACATGAATGGTCTTGAAAATATCAAATTCAGTATGAAAAACAATAAAAATGGCAACGAATTCAGAAACAATCTGGAAGCTTCATGGATGAATGGTCAAAGTATTGTATCTGATGCAACATATTCCAGCAGTGAATCATGGAGAATCACAACACGCAAAGCTGGACTAACCATCAGCACTCCTTTCAGTCAGCTAAGAAAACTTACTATTCAAGGAAATAACGATAAATCATCAGACTCCCTCAAACAATCTATGCTTGCTGAGATAAATGGTAAAAGATTATTGGACATGGACATTGCATATGAGAAAAATTCCAAACACTCTATTTCCGCCGTGATGAGAGAACCACAGCCTATGAAATTCGAAGGAGAAACAGTTTTCTCTGATTCCATAAAATCAGCACTGATTTCCATGAACTTGGATACAACATCGTCGGAAAGGCAGGCAAAATTAGAGACAAAATATGTAGTAGACCCATACACTCAGAAGAAGGAAGCTTTAGTCAAAATTTCAACACCTACGAGATCTGTTGAAGTAAAGGGATCTGGAGAAATGTCATCAAACCGTATGCTTTCTTCTTGGGATATCCTGATTGATGATACCCAGACATTTGGATTCGACGCTGAGCATTCATTGGTGAAAAGGCGTGCCAACTATGCCAATGGAAACACACTAAAGTTAAGATTTCCAGAGAGAAGTGTTGCCCTTTTTGGATCCTTTGAAGATAAATATGGTAAAAAGTCTGTAGATGGATCCGTCATGTGGGATGCAGACAGAGACACATCCAAGAAAATTGGTATCAGTGCTAGCGTTACTCCCCAAGGAGACTCTTTCAAAGCTGATGTGTCTTTTGAAATCCCAAGTATTGGCAAGGTAATTGCAAAAAATTAAGCATAGTTTTGATAAATATTGAATTTTAAACTGAAATTCTACTGCATGAAATTTTTGTGAGATTAAGATTAACTTTTTTTTATTTTCAAGGATGTGAAGTTGGATTCTGAAATGACCCTAAATCGAGGAAGTATTTTATTCGATGGTAAGACAGAATTCAAATACTCCAAAGACGAAGACAAAACCGTTGTTATTAACTCTCGTTTTGAAGATATTTCAACCGGATTGAACAAGAACTACACCTTTAGCTTGGGACTGAGACACATTTTCAGCAGTGTTGATGTTCAATTAAAATCACATGTTGGAATGTCAGATGACAAGTACACCAGTGGAATCAAAGTTGACTACATGACAGCAAAACGCATAAAGAAGAACTTTGCTTTGATGGGTGAAATAGACAGTCTTCGTCGTCAGATGAATGTAGAGGTACATTTTTTTTTACGAACATATCTTTATATCTTATATTATTATTGCTTGAATTTATCGGATCTCAAAGCTCAAAGATATTTATATTTTTACGTATATGTTACATTTGTAATAATAAATTAACTTTTACTGATCAGGTTGTCTCTCCTGTAAAATCGATGATCATGTCTGGAAAACTGGAATCGAAGCCTTATAAGTTGAGTTTGCGCAATGTGTACGATAATACCAAGGAAATCAACTCTCAAATCACCTTTGACATCGAAAACAGACTTTTAGCTGCCCAAATGAACTACGATATCGGTAATTTGAATTCAGATTTAATTTTTTGTGCAGTTTTATGGTAGATACTTTTCTTTAGATATAAGATTTATCTTCCTTCCATATTTCTTTTTTCAGGAAACCCAGCCAATGTCTTACACTTTGTTGCTAAATATGTAAATGACAGCGCTATCTTAGCGGAGATGTATCGAGAAGAAAACTCACGTAGAATCACTGAGAGTCTTCTTGCTATGAGACTGAATACTTCCAGAATCTTACACACCCGTGTTCACTGGAGACCTACGATGATTCAAGATATCAAAGTAAATCAAATATCTACTTACACTCGTCTCCAATTTTTAAATATTTTCATCAAGTTTGTTCATGATATTATAAACATTGGACTCTTATGTCTTATTAGGCATCTGGACTTGGAAAAATTGCTCTGAACAGCAGACGGATAAACATTGCTTTCTCTGAAGCTGCAAAGGCCTTTGGCAACGAGCTGAATTCTAAATACAATTTGATTCGTCAGTCCGCAAGCGACGGATATCGCCCATATGGGGAATTCATGGAGGAAATCATTGGAGAAATTGCAAGAACTTACCCCAGTATTGACCTCACAAACATTAGGTATTGCAAACCATGAAATCAAGAACATTATGATTTGAATATATTTCCTAATTTGTTAAAATATTTCATAATTTTGTTTTTTGTTTGCAGACACATGATTCAAAGTAATCCTGTCCAATGGGAAGATTTTCCTGGTAAAGACAGATATGATCTTTACGTAGAGGCCATCAAAGAACTCATCATAGTAAGATCGATTTGGCTTTTATAAGTTATAATCTATTTGCTCAGATGCTCTAGAACATATTATAAATACTCATTTATTCCTTTTTAAGCTTGTTGAATCGAAGGGAGGTCAGTATTACGGAGAGCTAATGGACTTCATCGGACAACAATTTGTCGATTTATCTGCTGCCATCGAGACTGCTATGAACAAATATCAAGGTACATGTAGTTTGATTTTTTGTTTCAGAAGAGCAGCCAGACTCTAATATTTATCACAAATTAAACGTATTTGATAATTTGCATTCAGAATCATTTACCTTTTTTATTATACTAGATGCAGTATCCAGACTTTCAGGAAACCACGTCTCTGAGTATATAAAATCCAAATACGATGCTTATTTAACAAGACTTAGTGATATTAGAGTTCCAGACATGGCTAGCCAGTACACCAATGCTATCTATAATGTCAGGGACCAAATTGCTTCTAGGATGAATGGTCCTGTTTTGGAAACTATTAAGGACTCTGGAGTTCAGAGCTATCATCTGGTAGTTATACACTGAATTGTGGATATGTATTTTGAATTGTAACATATTTATGATTAGATGAAAAGAGACATATCTGTTAATGTTTTTCAGGCTTACGATGCATACAAATTTTGGGAAGTGGAAGAAAATGTCAAATCTGTGATGAAGAATGTGTTTGATATGATCAAGAAAGACATTGAGGAGGAATTTGCCATCCTCAAAAATTCCATTTCCAACTTAAAAAACTCTAGAATCACTGTTTTTGATCCTAAATCAGGTGAAATACAAATGGACACATACCTGCCAGTCGCTATGTCATCCTTGAAAGAACTTCCTAAAGTGTCTGTCACCAAGTATGTCAACAGACTTCACTCCTATATTCCAAAATATTCCAACAAATGGGGATCAGTGTATGACTACATTCCCGATTCTGATGTCTCCAACTGGATTCCACCATTCAAAGGTTGGGAATAAACTGTATCCTAAAAATTGACTGAAGATCTTATTATCGTTATAAAATGAATGTTTTATTAACTACTGTTTGTGTTTTCTTTCAGCTGTAGCTACCCTTAATGGAAATCAAATTACAACTTTTGACGGTGAGGAGTTTGACTTTTCCGGAAAATGTTCCTATGTTTTAGCACGTGACTACGTTGATGGTAACTTCTCTGTCATCATGAACTACCTCGGCAAAAGCAAGAAACAGCTCATCATCACAACAGCTACACAGACTCTGCAAATAGCTCCTAATGGAAAAGTGTGTGCTCTTTTTATCTTTCAGTTACCATTTCAAAAATTATCTTCCAATATCTTTTAAATATAAGTTAATATTAATATTAAGTTGCAATTTAGCTGATGATTCACTTGTTTTGTAGCTTCGTGTTGATGGTAAAATTGTCAGCGCCCCTTACCAATCCCGGGAATTAAGTGTCAAGGCTGACGAGGAGCATTTGAATGTGCATGGCCGTGGGTTCACTGCTTTCTACAGCATTCCAACAGATCAACTTAAACTCGTCGTTAGTGGATGGTACCATGGCAAATTAGGAGGAATTTTCGGAACCAACAACAATGAAGTCTATGATGACATGATGACATCATCACGCAGCACCGTCACAGAAGTTGAGCCATTTATTAACAGCTGGGAAGTTGACAGCAAATGCCGTTAAACTGAGAAACTGTTGATGATGACTAACATTGATTTTTTTATTTGATTAATAATTATTTAATGTCTTTGTTATGTTGATTATATGAACCAATTAAAGAAATCTAAAGCAGCAAATAGAGATTCTTTTTTACCTAGCAAGAGGAAAATACAGTAAAACTGATTATTCAAAAACCGTGAATTTACATAGCATATATTAGAAGGAGTGAAGAATTAAAAATAGTTTTGAATCTAAAATATGAAATATGAAATGAAAAAGAAACTCATTCAAGGCAACAAGCCCCTCATTAAACATGAAAATACCAACAATGCCTAGAACTGAAAGAGAGGCTTAGAGGAGACATCAGTAATTCAAGAACTGTAAAGAAATATGGAGATAACGAACTGCATTTAAGCTCAAAGTCCATTAAATCAATACAAATCGGGAGTAGAGCAAACAAGAACCTCCAAAAACATCAGAGGTGGGATCAGGTTCCATGGAGGAGTGAGCATCTCCTGCCGACCTGTCACACCCGCCGTGTTCTCCTTGTCATGCAATGAAGCAATGAGTTCTCTCGGAATTAGATTCAATCTAAATTTTCTGTTTTTTTTGGAATAACTACTAGCATTTTTTCTTTGCTCACTTTATTGTAATCATGCAAGTAAATAGAAATTCAAAAAATGCAAGCCCTAATTTGCTTAATTTCATAATAAAGGGTCTTAGCTTTGTTTACAATTTTGAATTTCTCCATTCATTTTAAAAATAAACTTTAATTCAATGATAACAAAAATGAAAATTCTAAATATTCAATAACAAGGACATTCTTCATAACTTAACACAAAATCCTTGTGTTTGTAAACATGGGCTCGAGCATTGTCTTGAATTAGTAGTATGTTTAAGTTTTACTGGGTGTATTCAATTTGTTAAAATTGAAAATGAACAAGAACAGACAACACTGGTTAATTTGCTTTTCTTCCTTTTCTGCGATGATTTTTCCTGAATGCAGTTCGAACATTTTCTATTGATATTCAACAGACTTAAAATACCAAAAATGAAATAAATTCATACTAATTTTTAGGCCATTATTTACACACTGAATTGTCGACGGATTTTTCCGTTATTTCCCAATCATGACAAGGAGCACACGGTGTGACCGGTCGGCCGGGGAGATGCTCACTCCTCTATGGCATCTGATCCCACCTCTAATGTTTTGGAGGTCCGTGTTTGCTCTGCTCCTATTTTGTATCGTTTAATGGACTTTTGAGCTTGAATACTGTTCGTTATCTCCATATATTTCATTTTAGTACGTGAAAGTTCAAGGATGTGTTACAACCAATCAGCTGGAAAATCAAAGTTATGATAATTTCCTAAAAAAAAAAAAAACACAAGAATTTTCTGAAATCATTGTTATAATACCCGGTATATCAGATTTAAACACTTTACTAATATGTGAATCATGAAATTTTCATGAAAGTTTTGAAGGATATAAAGTTCGATATCGTACATATACCTTTTTTTTTTTTTTTATAATTTAATCTTTCTACTTTTGTTAAAAAGATCAACTAACATAACCGGCAGACTGGCAGGTAAACTTTCTACGTTTTTTAAAAAAGTCAATATTACAGAAGTGGCAGGTAATAGTCCAAATGGCAACGTATTTCTTAAACCTACCAAGAGAGAGAGAGAGAGAGAGAGAGAGAGAGAGAGAGAGAGAGAGAAGAACAGAACAGAAAATGAACTAGAGGGATTTATTATTTATTTCCATGGCCCATTACAAGTAAAAAAATTATAATTATAGGAATCTATTATATCTAGATCTGTGTATATATCGTAAGCAAGATGAAAAAAATAATTCATGGAAATGAGTTTTCCGGCTAAATTCAGATTATTCATGCACCTATTCAGCGTGGGGAAAATTAACATTTATAAATCGTAAATTAAAACAGTTAAACTTTGTCTCCTAATCATCATGGAGGTATACAAAAGTTTATTTAGTCCTGTAAAATGTATGTTAATGCTTCCTAGGTTCCCAACACAATTATGCGATAACATACCATCAGCGCCATTCCTGTCCCTCGCTGAAAACCTTTTAAGGTTTTTGATTTTCGCCATGCATTTGAGGCACTCTAGATACATTTGATAAAAAGCACCGTATTTGTCAAAAATATTTCCGTTAGGATTTCTTTGTTAGTTTTCCTGTCCGAGTGGATTGGTTGAAAATACACCCACTACCGGTAAACTGGCTTTCCATAATACTTGTTACAAGTATAGACTATAACACATTAGTATAGAGTGTCCATAAATGAATTTCAATCCATTAGTTATTGATAATAAGATTCGAAATCTATCCATCCGTTTTCACTAAATCAGAGGTGATAAAAGAATTAAAAAGATTACATGAACAATATGTAAAGGTTCCAGCAGACATACAAGACTTGTAACAATATCGTCTTTGTTTGTAAGGGTTCCAGCAGACATACAAGACTTGTAACAATATCGTCTTTGTTTGTAAGGCTCATTTTTATAACCGTATTTTAGAAGAACTTGGTTTTGATTCTACGTCTGGAAATCCAACTTATACTCACAGTTTACTGTATAAGGATGAGATTCTTCAAAATCACATTTCATTGTTTAATACTTTCAATATTCCAGTGAAAGAAGGTGAGTTCGATCTACCCCACCTATACCGGATTCCTAACCGTCATAAAAATCCATACAAAGATACATTTCCGGATCCAGCAAATTCTCTACCAAGCCCCTATCTCTACTCCTTACAAAAATATTAACTGCTATAATGGAGAAACTTCAGATGTACTGTGCTAAAGAATATTCTAGAAATGGTGTAAATCATATGTAGATTCTCAAAATTTTCAAAGAACTTCAGAATTTTTTTCAAAAATTGAATAACATCAGAACATCAGACTTTTTTTACACTTTATGCAACCATTTTTCAAGATAAATTAAAAACTAGGCTTTTTGATATCATAGACAACAGCTTTTTCGATAAAAATGGAAATTTTCGTATCTTGTGATTGGCAAAATCACTTCGTTAAAAATCACTTTGATTCTATACAAAAGTACTCTGAAGTTGATATTAAAAGGATGTTTGACAACATCAATGTAGTCTTCGGAGACCAAAAACGCAGCAATGTTAAGGCTTCCCGAAGCTTTAAATGGGTTTAAAACATAACACTACATTGCAAGGTCAGTTTTGATTTTAATTTTTAAGTTAGGTACTTAAGTACGGCCAATTTATATAAAGAATTCTTTTAGCTATATATAAACATATTTTTTATGATATCACATGACTTCCTTGATCACGTGACGGACATTTATAATTTTTGGAGTGTTTCACATTAATCGCTTCGGCACTGCCAATAAACACAGTTATTATTAACTTTTTGTCATACAAATAAACTCGTTGTATTTTGTGAACCTGATGTGTGCTTGGGAAAAATTGTATACTATTACTTGGGTACAAAAAATTTCACAATAAAATCAACTTACCGACATATTTGGGGTACTTTCCACTCAATATCGTCGTATGTATTAAAACAAAGCCATCACACAATTCCCAAGCAAGATTCAGTTAGAGAGGAAACTCCTCTTACAGATACCACAAAAGATCTCAAATAAATCCTCATTAATCACCTGCGCCAGGCTCTTTCATATACATAATATAAATTCTACCTCTATGAGGTCAAATGTATATTTTTCATATATATTTTGAACACACTGACTTTTAAACAAAAGTAATAAAGCAAAGTATTTTAAAATATTCGGATATATAAGATTTTGAAAATACGATTAAAACACGTTTATTTTAAAATAGCTTTCTGAATTTAATATACAGATTGAAATAACAGCTCAAGTTTGCAGTGATTTGACGTCATTTTCAATTATGACGTCAAATTTGTAGATCAGAGAAGTGAATGCACAGAGTTCACTGCGATATTCTATGGAAAGCCTTAACGTACCTGCGAAACTGTTGAAATTCCAATCAGCACTAATTGCGCTCCTTCATTAACCGACCTGTTTTTATATCCTATGAAGCCGAATCTATTAAAAAAAAACCCATATACATGAGAAGAAGAAGAAGAAACACTTGCTATGGCCTTCATCTCGACATTCAGATATATCGAAGACGTTTTATCAATTAACAATAGTTACTTCCATCCATATGTCGATTTAATTTGATATATATCCCAGCGAACTTGAAATAAAAAAAAACCACATCTCATAGTCTGTCACATCTGTTTCATATTTCGATGTTTTACTGACTATAGACGATGAGGGCCAACTAACAACTAAATCGTATAACAAATGAGATGACTTCAGGTTTTCTAATGTCAACTTTCCTTATTTATGTAGTAATATTCTGATATCACCTATATTTTAGGATTACGTCTCCCATCTTATTTGATAATCAAGAGCATCTCTGAGCACGATAAATTTTTAAGCCAAGGCAGGCCAGTGACGAAAAGTGGATGTTACAGGGATTTCAACATTTCGTTTAAAGTCAGCATTTCGTAAATTCTATGGTCGTAATAATGACCTTGTTAACAAATGTAACTATTTCGGCTAACGTGTTCATACCAATCGTTAGGCTTTTGTTTTTATACTAAATACTAACTGCATAATGTTTCGTCTACCGATCAATACATAGGGCTTACGGCGGATGTGATCGGTCAACAGGGGAGGCTTACTCCTACTATGCACCTGATCCCACCTCTGGAATTTCCGGGGGTCCTTGTTTTATGCCCTGTTCACAGATTTGCATTGTCGATTTTTGAAGATCGAACACTGTTCGTTATCTTTATCTTTTTCATAATTGATAGTTCTTGCATAATGCAAGGGTGGTAAAAGAAAAACTGTTTTAGTACATGTAGTTACGTTGCCTGGAATAAGGGCTCCAGTAGAGGATATACTTGTCCTGTTGTAATGTATGAATTTATGGTGTGGCGGTTAATATAAAACTTACAAACATGACAACTTGCAAATATTGTATTTCCTGCCACCATGTAAATCTAAATTTTACAACATGAAATATTGATATCTAATAATGCAAGTTGGACAAGGATACAAGTAACATGTATATAGTATGTAAATAATTTTTATGCAGCTTTCTTCTTCTAAA